TGATAACAACAACAACAATAATAATAATAATACAAGCAGTGGCATGACAAAGTACCGACAATGGCGCATTGGAAGTTCTGCAAGAAATATCATTTGCCTGCAAGCAAGAACTGGTGGGATCATAAAATAGAGAAAGTCATAGAAAATGAAAATGTTAAATTGCTCTGAGACTTTAGAATTCAAACAGACAAGTACCTGCCACATAATACCCTGGACTTAACAATTGTCGATAAGAAAGACAAAAAAGTCTGGATAGTGGATGTGGCAGTGCCTGGAGACAGCAAAATAGACAAGAAAGAACTGGAGAAGATAATAAAATACAAAGACCTACAAATAGAAATAGAACAACTGTGGCAAAGGCAAACAACGGTAGTACCAATAGTAATAGGTGCCTTAGGTGAAGTCCCAAAATAACTGGAGCACCACTTGGACACCATTGGCATTGACAAATTCGCCATTAGTCAATAGCAAAAGGCGGCCTTACTAGAAACTGCTTCCATCCTGGGACAATATCTGTAATACTGTTGTGATTCCGTGCCAGCCTGTGCTCACAACAGCTGAGTCTGAGGAATCTGAGGAGGAGGTGGAAGAGGCATTTGAAGGGCCATCAGGGGCAGAGGGAGGCTCTGATGAATTACAGGACTTACAGTTTGATGCAGAGCCTGGGCCCTTCAGTCGTGTTTCTGATGAAGCTCAGCTGTGTGAGGAGAATGAGTCAGACTCGGAAGAATCACATCTGATGGATTTGCTAATTGACTCCCGTCATCAATTAGCAAGAGTAAATCAACAAAGGTCAATGAGACACTTCCAGAGTAAAAAGAAAAGGCAATGAGAGGCAACGCCTTGGGACTGCTGAATAAAGGGAGGAGGTGTGGGCGGTGCTGGTTGCTGAAGGCAACTGTTTGCAAAAGGCTTCTTGGAATCCTGGTCTGTTCGTTTTGCTTGTGATTTCTCTGTTCGTCTTGCTTGTGACTTCTCGTCTGTTTGCATTGTGTTTCCTTTGGACTTGAGTTTTGCTGTTTGTGTTTTGGACTATTTGACAGGTTTGTCAACCATATTAAAAGAGTTTTGTTTTGTTGAAAAGTCTCCAGCCTTATTGCATCAGCAGGGGTTTGGTCCTTGTGCCTTTAACACGGATGGCAATAGGCTGGGATAGAACAGTTTGCCTTCAGCATCACCCCCTACTATCATGGAGCAGCTCCATGCTGAGAACGCCCAGCTCGCCCAGCAGCTGGTTTTGTTATCTGCTCAAGTTGCTCAGCTATCTGCCCAGGTTACTGCTGCTCCACCACCACCCAGGAGAAAATGCTAAGTGGCAAGGCTGGACAAATTTGATGGCAACCCGGACATGTTTCCTGTGTTCATGGGACAATGCCACTTGTACATTAGTGTCAAAGCAGAGGATTTCCCCACTGACTGGGATAAAGCGGGGTTTATGATAAGCCTGCTTTCTGGTCCTGCAGCTCGTTGGGGCACACCCTTGTTAGCCCAACGTAGCCCATTGCTGGACAACTTTGTGGGGTTTTGTGAGCACATGCGGTTGATGTGTGAGGACCCCATCAAGACTCAGACAACTACCCAGCATTTGAAAGCCCTGTGGCAAGGCCGACGCCCCCTGCAGGGCTATATCAGTGAATTTCGGCTGCTTAGCCAGATTCAGCCTGGAATGAGGCTGTGCTCATGGACGCTTTCCAGGATGGCTTGTCAGAGGAGATGTTGGATGAGTTGGCCCGTGTTGAGCTTCCCCCGGACCTTAATGGGCTCATTCATCTCTACCTGCAGAGCGACGCCTGGCTGCAGCAGCAAAGGAGTCGCCATGCTACCCCAGAGATCCGTAAGCCCCCCATTGTGAGTGTGACCCCAGTCCAGAGGGAGGAGCCAATGGAGTTAGGTGCTGCCAGACTTCGTCCATCGGTGGCAGAGATGAAAAGCCGACCTTCAGGGGGGGTTGTGTTTTTATTGTGGGGATCCTGGACATTTGGCTGCTTTCTGCCCCAAGAAGCGATGAAGGGCATCTGTGACGGAGCCGGTCCCGAGACTGCCCTCGGCTTCCCTGTTGGGAAACAGGCCATGCCCGACCTAAAAGGCCTTTTGGGTCAGGCGTCCTGCAACTCTGAATCATTTCCTTCTGATGCTGCCCACGGACCCCCAAAACATCTGATCTTGGAGGCGCGTCTGCTTCTTCCTATGTTGCCCAAGGGGATTTCTGTCCATGCATTGATTGATTCTGGGGCCACTACGAACTTTATGGACGCAGCATTTGTGGCTAAATGGACGATTCCTCAATGCCCGATGGATCCGCTGATGTTAGTGGAGACCATTGATGATCGAGTGCTTCTGTCTGGGCCAATTAAGGCTGCCACGCAACTGCTATGTATGGCCATCAGTAATCATGAGGAGGCCATTCAGTTTTATATCACCTCAGACCTGCATTTTCCCGTGATTTTGGGAATGGCGTGGCTCTGGGCGCATGACCCCCAGATCTATTGGTGTCAGAACTTGGTCACCTTTCCAAGCCTGCAGTGTGTGGACCACACCCGCCACATCTGTGCCGGTCAGGTAGAGGGGCCCACGGGGGACTCCTTGCCCTCTGAATTGGCAGAGTATGCTGATGTGTTCAGCGAGACTGAGGCGGATCAATTACCCCCGCACAGACCTTATGACTGCCCCATTGACTTAGTCCCTAACGCGCCTCTCCCAGTGGGGTATTTGTATTCCATGTTGGACCCTGAGTTGGCTGCTTTGAGGGACTTTTTGGACAAGAATTTGGCTCAGGGGTTTATTCGGCCCTCGTCCTCACCAGTATCTGCACCCGTACTCTTCGTCAAGAAGAAGTCCGGTGAATTGCAGCTTTGCTGCGATTATCGGAAATTAAATGCCATCACAGTGCGCAACCGATACCTGCTGCCCCTCATCCCCGAACTCTTGGATCGGCTCTGTGAGGCCAAAATCTTCACAAAACTGGACTTGCGCGGAGCTTACAACCTTGTCAGAGTTCAGTCCGGTGATGAGTGGAAGACGGCATTTGGTACTCAGTACAGGCACTTCAAATACACAGTGATGCCCTTTGGCCTGACCAACGCCCCTGCTGTTTTCCAACACTTTATGAATGACATTTTCCGGGACTTGTTAGATCAGTTTGTGGTGATTTACCTGGATGACATCCTGATCTATTCCCCATCGCGAGAGGAGCACCATCGGCATCTCTGTCAGGTCTTGCAGTGGCTTCGAGAACATCAGCTATATGCTAAATTAGAGAAATGCCAGTTCTACCAGACGACTATTGAGTTCCTGGGTCACCGCATTTCTCCTGAGGGCATCGTCATGGACCCGAGTAAGGTGGAGTCTTTGCAGAGTTGGCAACCACCACATCGTATGAAGAATGTCCAGCGATTTCTTGGGTTCGCCAACTATTATTGGACTTTCATCCCCGGATTTGCTACCATGATAGCTCCCCTTACTCGGCTCCTGCAGAAAAAGACTCGGTTTCAGTGGGATGCTCCAGAACAATGGGCTTTCCAGGCTTTGAAGGAAGCCTTCATGAAGGAGCCCATCCTGAAGCATCCTGACCTGCAATGGCCATTTGTCGTGGAGATGAATGCCTCTGACATTGCCATTGGGGCGTGTTACTCCAGGCGACGACACCCGGTGGTGCCCTCTTCCCTTGCGCGTACTATTCACGGAAATTGAATCCGGTGGAGCGCAACTATAGCATCTGGGAGAAGGAGCTATTGGCCATTAAAGTGACGTTTGAGACCTGGAGGCATCATCTGGAAGGGGTGCAGCATCAAATCGAGGTCCAGATGGACCATAAGAATTTAGAAAGCCTGCAGAACGCTCGGGAATTGAACCAACACCAGATTCGATGGTCTCTCTTCTTCGCAAGGTTCAATTTCCAGGTGAAGTACATACCAAGCAGTCACAATCAAAGAGCAGATGCTCTGTCCAGGAAGCCCGAATATTCCCGAGCAGAAGACAAGCTTCTGCCCAGGACAGTGCTCCTTATTGAGTCTTTTGCTGTGGTGAGGGAGCCAATAGATGTACGGGCACAGATTCGGGAGGCCCAGCAGCAGGATGGGTGGGTGGCTCAGCGAAAGGAGGAGGTGGGGCCCAATTCACCATGGACAGTTGTGGATGGACTCCTCCACTATCGTGATCGGCTCTATGTGCCTGGAGGCCCGCTCAGAGGACTCATTCTCAGCCAGTGTCACGATAATCCAGCAGCGGGGCATTTTGGCCTGTTCAAGACCCTGAATTTGGTATCCTGTACATCCTGGTGGCCCCGAATCCGACACGACGTTCAGACCTACGTCTCATCGTGCATTTCCTGTAGGCAAACCAAGTCAGCGATAGGGGCCCCACCCGGACTACTGCAACCCTTGCTGACACCCAAAAGACCCTGGGGGTGGTGTCCATGGATTTTTTGACGGACTTACCCCCATCTTCTGGATTCATGATGGTATTCGTAGTGGTTGACATGTTGACCAAGATGGCGCATTTCATTCCATGCTGTGGCTTACCGTCTGCCCGCGCCACCGCTTGCATGTTCATCCAGCAGGTGTTCCGTCTGCATGGTCTTCCTGATAAGGTTGTGTCCGATAGAGGGGCCCAGTTCACAGCCCATTTCTGGCAGGAGTTGATGCAGGCGTTGGATATCAAGATCTGCCTCTCGTCCGTGCATCATCCTCAAACCGACAGAGGGACCGAGAAGGTCATTGGAATCCTGGAGCAATATCTGTGCTGCTATGTCAATCAGCAGCAGAACAATTGGGTAGACTATTTGGCTGTGGCTGAGTTTGCATTCAATAACTCCCAGCACACCTCCATGCAGATGACACCATTCTTAGCCAATGTGGGCTATCACCCTTGGTTTTTCCCTAGTTCTCCAATAGATGCAACAGAACCACCAGCAAACACTACCTGGCAGAGTTACAGGTGATCCATCGATTGGTGCAATGATAGCTGGAAAAGGCCAAGGCTGACTACAAATGGTTTGCTGATCGGTCAAGGCGGGATACGCCTCCACTATCGGTGGGAGATCGGTATGGCTGTCCACTAGGAGCCTACCGTCAACCTGGCCAACCAAGAAATTAGACCACCGATATGTCGGACCGTTCCCAATTGAGGCTGTCATCAATCCGGTCGCCTATCGCTTAATTCTGCCACATTCCACACGGGTACATCCAGTCTTTCACAGTTCTCTTTTGGTCCCTGAGCAACCGGCATGTCCACTCCACCAAGCCGAACCGCCCCCACTGGAACAACGTGACAGAGACAGTGCCCCCGAGTACGAGGTTGCCAGCATTCGGGACTCCCGTTGGGTGAAAGGACGCTTCCAGTACCTGATTGAATGGAAAGGCTACGGACTGGAGGAGTTCACCTGGGAGGATGCGTCTACAATTCATGCTTCTGTCTTGGTGACCGCCTTTCATGAACAATTCCCATCCCAACCGCATCCAGATCGGCACACCTGGGGGAAGGGCCCTGCAGTGTGGGATAGTGTTGTGATTCTGTGCCAGCCTGTGCTCACAACAGCTGAGTCTGAGGAATCTGAGGAGGAGGTAGAAGAGGCGTTTGAAGGGCCATCAGGGGCAGAGGGAGGCTCTGATGAATTACAGGACTCACAATTGGATGCAGAGCCTGGGCCCTCCAGTCGTGTTTCTGATGAAGCTCAGCTGTGTGAGGAGAATGAGTCAGACTCGGAAGAATCACATCTGATGGACTTGCTATTTGATGCATGCTCCCGTCATCAATTAGCAAGAGTAAATCAGCAGCAGTTAATGCGACTACTCCAGAGAAAAAGGAGAAGGCACTGAGAGGCAACGCCTTGGGACTGCTGTATAAAGAGAGGAGGTATGGGTGGTGCTGGTTGCTGAAGGCAACCATTTGCAAAGTGCTTCTTGGAATCCTGGTCTGTTCGTCTTGCTTGTAACTTCTCTGTTTGTCTTGCTTGTAACTTCTCGTCTGTTTGCATCGTGTTTCCTTTGGACTTGAGTTTTGCTGTTTGTGTTTTAGACTATTTGACAGGTTTGTCAACCATATTAAAAAAGTTTTGTTTTGTTGCAAAGTCTCCAGCCTATTGCATCAGCAGGGGTTTGGTCCTTGTGCCTTTAACAAGGACGGCAATAGGCTGGGATAGAACAAATACTATGAATTCAAACATCCACATCTGCCTATCCCAGGTCCTTGGTAAGGACTCGATAGGTAAACAAAAATGTCAAACCCAGTCTGAACATCTGGTTGACTGTGTGATGATCAATAATAATAATGATGATGATGATGATGATGATGGTGATGATGATGATGTTGGAAGGGACCTTGGAGGTCTTCTAGTCCAACCTCTTACTATACCATTTCAGACACATGGCTGTCTAGTCTTTTCTTAAAAACTTTCAGTGTTTTAGCAACTTCTGGAGGCAGGTTGTTCCACTGATTAATTGTTCTGTCAGGAAATTTCTCCTTAGTTCTAGGTTGCTTCTCTCTTTGATTAGTTCCATCCATTGCGTCTTGTCCTGCTTTCAGGTGCTTTGGAGAATAGTTTGACTCCTTCTTCTTTGTGGCAGTCCATGAGATATTGGAAGACTGCTATCATGTCACCTATAGTCTTTCTCTTCATTAAATTAGACATACCCAATTCCATCAATTGTTCCTTATATGTTTTAGCTTCCAGTCCCCTGATCATCTTTGTTGCTCTTCTCTATACTCTTTCTAGAACTCAACTTCTTTTTTATAAAGTTTTATTTTTTAACAGAATTCAATAATAATTATTCAACAAAAATGTGTTGTCTGAGTATCTAATTCACTAATACAAATTAAATTCCTAATCCCTAAATCTTTTCTCTAACCATTGATAAAATAGGTCCCAAGTTTGAAAATATTCTGTTTCTTCTTTTTCTTTCAACCTTAAAATAAGTCTGTCCATTTCCACAAAGTCTAATTTTTTTTATTATTTCTTCTTCTGGTGGTATTTCTTCATTCTTCCAATATTGTGCAAATATAATTCTTGCCGCTGTTATCACATGTAGAATTAAATAAGTACTTTGCTTATCAAATTTTTCTGGCATTATATCTAGTAAAAAAAATTCAGGTTTATAGTCTATGTTCGTGATGGCGAACCTTTTAGAGACCGAGTGCCCAAACTGCAACCCAAAGCCCACTTATGTATTGCTGGGTGCCAGGTGGGCATGGCCCATTGGGTGGGTGTGGCCCATTGGGTGAGTGTGGCCAATTGGGTGAGCATGGCCTATTGGGTAGCATAATTGCAGTGGTAGCAGCAGACTGGGTGGGACTAAAAAGTTCAATCAATCAATTCCAACTTTGCGAGATCTTTTTTTCCCCCGCTAATTGAAATTGATTGATTGAACCTCTTTTTTTTGCACACAGTGGTGGAGGCCTAAAGCGAAAAGATTTTTAAAAACCCAGCTAAAGGCCTAGGACTGGGGCAACAGTGCTCGTGCCCACAGATAGCGCTCTGCATGCCACCTGTGGCACCAGGTTCATAGGTTCGCCATCATGGGTCTATGTGTTTCTCTAACTTTTTTTCTAACCATGTGTGGATTATTATTCAATATCTCCTTGCTTTAATATATGTTCACCATATATGATAATAAGTACCTGGCTTGTGTTTACATTTCCAACATTTCTCTGACATTTTTAAACATTTTTGCTAATCTTGTTGGTGGCAAGTGCCAAATATAGAACATTTTATATAAGTTTTCTTTATATGAAGCTGACATTGTCAATTTATAGTTTCTTTCCCACAAACTTTGCCACTTCTCTATGTCTATATTATATCCAAAATTCTTTGCCCATGCTATCATTGTCTCTTTTACTTGTTCATCTTCCATTTTGAAATTTAATAAGAAATTGTACATTTTTAATTAACTTTTCATTGGAAGTTAGTAATGTCTGATCAAACATAGGCTGCTCTTTATAAAATCCATACTGTTTAATATCTTTGTCATATCTGACTTGCATTTGTAAATGTGACCACCATGTTAAATCGATGCCCTGATTTTCCATCTCGTGCCTGGATTTTAAGTTTCCTTCAGAATTTAGAATATCTTTGTATGTCCATGTTTTATCGAGACTGACTAGATTTGGATGTACAAATGCTCCCATTGTTGAAAGCCATCCTGGAATTTTCAAATAAATTTTACATTTTATTTTCCCCCAAGTTAATAATAGTGCAATTCTAACGTAGTGGTTTTAGAAGTATTTATGTATTTTATTTTTTCCATACCATAAAAAAGCATGCCAACCAAGTTACAGGTCATGTCCCTCCAAATACAGCAATCTTTTATTTCTAAGAGTTATCCATTCTTTTATCCATGTTAACAGTGATGCTTGATAATATAAAACCCAATCTGGCAAGCCAAAATCTCCATTTCCCTTGGCTTCTTGTACATTTTCAATTTAATTCCAGCTTTCTTTCCTTGCCAAATATATTTTTGAATTAGAGAGTTTAAATCTTCAAATAATTTTTTCTCCAGTTTGAAACAAAAATAGTATATTTGGTAATATATTCATTTTCACTGTAGCAATTCTTCCTAACATCGACAGTTGAAGATTCTTCCACTTTTCCAAATCAAGCTTTATTTGATTTAACCATTTAATATAATTATCTTCTTTTATTGTTGAACATCTTGCTGTCAAATATATTCCCAAGTATTTGAACTTTTTGACTATTTGCAATTCTAATTTTTCTGATAATTGCTTTTTTGTTTATCTGTAAGATTTTTAACTATTACTTTAGTTTTTTCTCTATTTATCTTTAATCCTGCTATCTTTCCAGATTGTTCTATCTTTTCCAACAATTTAGAAATCATCTCTAAAAGTTCCTCTAGAATGAATATCAAATCATCTGCAAATGCTTGCAGTTTGTAGGTTTCACCTTTTATTTTCAATCCTTTAATTTCTGGATCTTGCCTAATGTTTCTATTTAAAACTTCCAAGGTTAAGATAAATAGCAATGAGGATAATGGACATCCTTGTCTTGTGCCTTTTCGTATATCAAAATTCTCTGTATAATCCCAATTTACAATCACCTTTGCTGTTTGTTTCTTATATATTGTCCGAATCGTATTTATAAAGTTTTGACCAAAGTCCATTTTTTTTAGTTGTTGAATCATAAATTGCCACGAAACACTATTAAATGCCTTTTGGGCATCTAAAAATACTAATGCCAGTTGTTTCCCTGGGTGGAGTTCATAATATTCCAATATACAATATCTACCCTCAAATTATTTTTATTTGTCTCTTTGACAAAAATCCATTTTCATCTGGGTATATAAATTCAATCAAAAATCTTTTCAACCTCTCAGCTATTACTGAAGTGAAGATTTTATAGTCCACATTCAGTAGTTATATTGGTCTATAGTTTTTTATCTGGGTCAAATCTGAGTCCTCTTTTGGTATCAAAGTTACATTTGCTTCTGTCCATGTATTTGAGAGTTTTGCCTCCAATAAAAGTTTGTTACATACATCTTTCAATGATGAACTTAATGTATCTTGTACACATTTATAAAACTCTGCTGGGAGTCCATCTGGTATCGATGTTTTTTTTTTCATTTTTTTGTCTTTATTGCCTCTGTCAGTTCCATCATTGTTATTTTTTCATTTAACATAGTCTTGAAGTTTTCTGGAATTTTTGGTAAGTTATTTTCTTCCATATATTGAGTCATTTTCTCCCATGGAGTTTCTTCCTTAACAAACAGTTTCTCATAGTATTCTTTAATTATCTTTTTATTGCTTCATTTTTAAATTGTAAGCAGCCTTTTTCATCTACTAAATTGTTTATCAATTTTTTTCTCCTTCTGTTTTTTCTCCTTCTGCTAACCATCTTCCTGGTTTGTTTGCATTTTCAAAAAAGTTTTGCTTTGCCCTTTTAATTTGCTATGCCAATTTTTCTTATACTATTAAATTTAATTTATATTTTATTATTTCCATTTGTCTTTTCAATATTTTCTTTTGTGGGTTTATTTTTTTAAATTCTAATTTTTTAAATTCTTCTCTTAACAACTGACGTTGTCGTCTCTTTTCTTTATTTTTTTTCGCCATGCATGTTATCACTACGCCTCGAAAATATGCTTTGGCTATATCCTATACATTTTGTAATGTTGTATCTTTTTTATTTTCTTTGAAGAAAAATTCCATTTCTTTTGCTGTTAGGTCTATAAATTCTTTCTCTTTTAATATAGATTGATTCAAAGTTTATTTTAATTTTTTCTGCATTCTTTTCGACACTATTTTTAAAGGATTATGATCTGCCCAAGTACCTAATTCTATTTCAATTTCCTGCATATTAACCCTTAATTCAGGCGTCAACCAAATCATATCAGTTCTGGACCAAGATTTATGACTATTAGAATAAAATGTATATTGTGATTTTCCTGGGTTCGTTTTTCTCCAAATATCTTGTACACCAATTTCCTCTATCATGTTAAAAAAAGTCTTAGGTAATCTTTTTCTTCCTTGTTTCCCTGATTTACTGCTTTTATAGTCTAATATCCCTTCTACTATTGCACTGAAATCCCCAATTAAGCATATATTTTAATATCATCAAATTTGCAGACAACACCAAGCTGGCAGGAATAGCCAACTCTCCAGAAGACAGGCTTAAGATACAGGAGGATCTGGACAGACTTGAACACTGGGCACTATCTAACAAAATGAAATTCAATGGTGAAAAAAGTAAGGTTCTACATTTAGGCAAGAAAAACCGAATATACAGGTATAGTATAGGGGGTACCTTGCTCAATAGTAGTAACTGTGAGAGGGATCTTGGAGTCCTAATGGACAATCACTTAAATATGAGCCAGCAGCGTGCTGCAGCTGCCAAAAAGGCCAACATAGTGC